TTGCCTTAAACTAATTATAGTTTAAGCGTCTGAGAATGAAATTATGATCTAGCCTTAGACTAAGAATAGCTAAGAGCGTTGTTATGATCTGGCCTTAGACTAAGAATAGCTAAGAGCGTTGTTATGATCTGGCCTTAGACTAAGAATAGTTAAGAGCGTTGTTATGATTTGGCCTTAGATTAAGAATGATTTAAGAGCACTATTGAAATAATAACTGAATTGAATAAAATATGTTGATAAGAACTGAATAATATCAAAACTGTGAATGTCTGAAGTGAACATTGTGTGCATGATATCAAATGATTTGATTATGAATTTAGATTCAGTTTATATGGATGTTCGACGCATTAGATATGCTTACTCAGCTTTACCGCTGAGCGTGTAGTGTGTTTTATTTGCTACACGCAGGTAAACAGAAAGAACAATGTGATCCTGGTGGCAGATGAGGCGAGATTGTCGGGATGGATGTGACAAGTTTTGAAATGAATTATGATATGTCAATTTTTAATTCGCTTCCGCAATATTGTTGAATACTCCGTACTGTATATGTTATGAAAAAATATTATTGTGATAAATAAAAGTGTTTGAAAAGTTTTAAATTTTTACGATTTCCAAATTAATACTTTAGTCCAAAAGGGGCTGCAGACCTGGACGGATTAGGGTGTTACACTAACTCGTTTGTTTGGGTTATGTGAGTTGGGGTGTTACACATGGTCTCTTGGTGAGTGACAACATTAGTTCATGATGATGAGTGACAAGGTTATTGATCTATTAGGCTTATGGTGAGTGATAAGGTTGTCTCTAGGTGAGTGACACACCTCATTATCATGAGTGGATGGACCTTAGCCAAGAACACAAATGATACAATTTGATAATAACTATATTGGTCTTATTGAATATTGAAGGATACATCCCTATATGTAGAGATTCTAAGAGAAAATTCTAATCTAAGTAGGAGAAGAATTATAGTAACAATACAATTAGGAAGTAAAAAGAATAAGGTAATTAATAATCAATATTCTATTTCTTATTGTCCTCCGCAAGCTAATCAACGAAGATGAGGGACGACTTGGAGCATAAGTACTGGAACAGAACTGGAGGCAACGGCTCGGTGAAAATATCCGATCAACAAGTAGACCATAAATAACAGCATTAACAACATCACGTTCAGGGATATTTTCACGCAAGCCATCTAAGCAAGCAAGGATCATGATAACTTTATCAAGATATTAAATCATAGATTTTGTATCTTTCCGGAGAGTATGTACCTTGTCGCGGAGTTGATAAATATGGGCAATAGAGATGGAATTGTAACTTGTTGCTAACGCCTCCCACAAGGCAACAGATGTGGTGAAGCCCCGGGCATGTTTATAAACCGTAGGCCTGATGATGGCCAGAGATTTGCTTCAAGTGCAGTTTGAACATTCAACGACCTACACATGATAGTTTGTATTAGTGAATTTTTCAGGGATAAAATTGTGAAGATTTCGGAGTAGTAATTTTACTTCAGAAGGAAGAGATGCAAAGGATCAGATGTAGGTCCCATGGCCTTGGCGGTCCACCATCGGCTAGAGATAGGGCTGGCATAATAGCTTGGCTGAAAAAAAGCTAGGTTTTTGGGAACCTTTGCTCCGATATCATGAGACAATTTGATAATAATTGGTTTTATTAAATAATGAATGATGCATTCCTATATTTAAGAATTACAAGAGAAAATTCCAATCTAAGTAGAAGAAGAATTATTGTAATAATATAATAAAGAAGTAAATGAATAAGGAAAGTAATTAATAATCATTATATCTATTTCCTATTAATAACAAATTTAGCGGAGGTCATCGTCGTAAAGAAATAGCTAAGCGTTTCCCAATCGTATAGCTTACAAACTGAAAGACACATTATGCTAACAGAAATCACACCAAATAGAGTAAAACATAACATTTAAATTCATAATAAGAGTATCATGTTTTTATCCTCAAAATAGGAGTACACTCTGAGTTTATGACTATACATAGGGATATGAGTGAAGTAGGGATCAAAATAAGAGTGTCACACCAAATAGACTATGGTTTTATCCTCAAAAAAATAATTTAGATCAAAATATGAGTGAAATTTATTTACCTTGTGAATAGGGATGGAGTGATAAGATGACCCACAAATTAGTTCCATGTTAGCTAAAAACCTCCCAAACCAAAATACAACCAGGAGCTACCCTGGTACAACTATTTACTAGCAAACATTCATTTAAACCTCCTCGGACTTCTTCTACATGTCCTAACTCTGCAGGCCCCTTTTGTCCTTTTCCCCACCCGCCGGAGGAAATCCCAATCCCTAGGGTTCAGCTTCATCAGAATCCGATGATCCATATTCTATTCGTTGCAGAAATTACATTGAATTGATCGGAGCTCTAACAACTCGCCGGAGAACTGATCGGTATTTACATGGATGGAATGTTCGGCTTTCGTTCCGCGCCGGACTACTCCGACCGGCACCTCATCTCGCCGGACGATCTGTTCGACTGCAGCTACGGCATGATTGCTCCCTCCGTCGATCGGATTCCGATGTTCTGCTCCGACGACCTTGCCGCCACCGGCAGCTTCCATTGCTCCGTGGATTCCGACGCTCATCGGCGAGGCGGGAGTCGGCTCGAGGATGCGGCGGCGGCGGCGGCGGAGGGCGGCGGCGGTTACGAAGACGGCGGTGTTGGCTTAATCAAAGATAGAATCGCGTCCCACCCTTGTTATCCGAAGCTTCTAGAAGCCTACATCGATTGCCAGAAGGTTCGGCCGGGAATTCCGCAAATGTCTAACCGTTTTCGCATAGTTTCCGGGATCACGAGAAAGTCACTCCCGCTTTGTGCGCGAGCGGTTACTCCCGCAAATGTCTAACCGTTCTGTCCCTGGATTGAAGAGAGAGGTAACGAGTTTTGCGGTGTTTTCAGGTGGGAGCGCCGCCGGAGATCGCGGCGTTTCTGGATGAAATCCGGCGAGAAAACGAATTGCGTAAGCATGACGGCGTCGTGTCTACGTGCTCAGGAGTTGATCCAGACCTTGACATTTTCATGGTGAATCTCTCTCTCAAGCTCATAAATTTATTATTACTCCTTATTTTTCATAAGCTCATAAAATTCACTTTTCAATTTATTACTCCCTCCGTCCCAAATTATTTGTCACATTTCTATTACCAAATTAAAATATCAAATTTTTTCAATTCATTTTATTTACATATTGGTAAAAAAATAAAAAATAAAAATTACATATAAAAAAACTACATGAAAAATTCTTCGAAATAAGAGGTGTCAAGAATATTTTATTTTATCAAATAACCAATGAAAACATAGAAATAAACAAAAGTTTTCGCGACTGTTGAAAAAGCAAATGTGGCAAATAATTTGGGACGAAAAGAGTACTCCTTTGGTTCCCTTTTCTTAAAATACTTCCTTTTTAATTTTTTTGTTTTCTCCAAAATTTTTAGTTTTTATAAAAAATTACTTTTATCCATCATATTTTACTTTTACTCACCACATCAAGGATAAATTAGAAAGTCAACCTTAAATATACTCTTTATTTCTCCTAAAAGACGAAATAGAAATCGTTTTATGAGTTAATCTTGAATTCTTGATTATTCCAAGAATTTGTTTGCAATATTATCGTTAATCATTTGAGAAAACAACTTTACACTTTAAAATAACAATGATAAAATAACATTAAGTAAACAGATGAATAAACTATTCCTTCCCGTCTTAAAATTTTTTTTGTTTTGCTTTTTTAATCAGACATTGATATTTTTTATCATAAATTAAACATAATCTAAATAAATAAAGGATATAAAATTTGATATCTCAATAACATATTCGAAGATAAACCCAATTAAATTAAATTTATATTCTTACTCCGTAACAAATTACACTTTTCTCGCCCCTTAAAAAACATATTTTTCTCGCAATGTTTGATCAAAGAATGTCACTTTTTGACAAAAAAACAAAACATCAAATGTTTTTAAGACTATTCATGTTTGTTTTAAGATTCATAATTAATTCTTATCTCCTTGATCTAGGAAACGTACAGTGAAATGTTAGTGAAATACAAATCAGAGCTCTCGAGGCCGTTGGACGAAGCTATGACCTTCCTCAACAACATCCAAACTCAACTTCGAAACCTCTGCAAAGGTCCTCTATTCTAATTCCCTTTCCTCTTTTTTAATTACATACACACAAACAATCTCTTTTTTCCTTTCAATCTTTCTCTTATGATCCTAAAATAAAGATGGATTAGTGGAAGAAAGTTATGACACAAAGAAACTACAAAAAAATAGGTGTAGTTTTTGTCTCAGGTTGGGAACTTTGAAAAGAAAAGAGTAAATTTTATAACTGGTCCTTTATAACAGGGGGTTATCCTATTTAGTCATCTATTATCAAATATTATCCCAGTGATCCTTCTTTTGTGGGTATCTTTACACAAATAGTCTTTTTTTTATCGTCTATCATGTTGGTGTTAATTTGAAGGCTAAAAGTGTAATTTCGCAATGATAATATATCTTTTTTGTCATACACAATTCCAAAGGGTGTTCCATTTCCATCGTTTGTGAATTACAGTCGCTTTCTACTACAACCATAGTCTACAAGTGTGGTGTTTCGTCGGAATTCTATCCCACAATCATAGTCATTATTTTTGTGTTATCCGCTTAACCAATATCTGAACATGTCAATAGACATAATGTTGATGTCAAATTATACTTTTAGCCTTTAAATTAATACCAACATGACAAAAGATAAAAAAAGGACCATTTGTGGAAAGGCATCCTTAAGGGGGTAATATTTGATAATAGAGAACTAATTATGGAATTTACTCAAAAGAAAACTTTAATTTAGTACTTGCTCCATCACAAAATTAAGCTCATACTTCGTATAGTCAAAATTTTTAACTTTTTTTTTGTTTATTTTTATTATTAATTTGATAAAATAACGTACTTTATTCGTCTAAAAAGATTTTTCATTTTGACTTTTAGAAAATTTAAGAGAGATATCTTTGTGTTGACTTTCCAAAAATACTCTTGATATGATGAGTAAAAGAAGAGTATGATGTGTAAATTATTAGTAAAAACTATGATGTGATAGGTAGGTTTAGAATTAGTAGGGGTAAAAGTGACTTTTTATAGAAATGAGAATAATTTTGTTCGACAAGTAAAAAAAAAGTAAATGATTTTTTGAGATGGAAGGAGTAGTATATTTATATTGTCTCTTGTTTTGTAGAAAATGTACATTTTAAATTATACTCCATCCGTCTCAGTTTGTTTGCTTAGTTTGATTTTTCAAAGTCAAATTGAATGAATTTTGATCTTTAGCTAAATAAATACGTCAAGCTGGACGAAATTATAAAATTATATTTTATTATATTAATATGCAATATAAATTGAAAAAATTAAAGCTCAAAGGTCGTTCAATTTGACTCAAAAAAATTAATGCAGGTTACATCCATATATATAGGATTACGATAGAGAATCCTAATCATAGTTGAATAAGAATTATAGTAATAATATAATAAAAAACAATAGAATAAGAAATGTAATTAATATTACCGGAGACTCCTCGGGAGTAATATTTTATCCTATTGTCTCTAATCTCTATTCCTAATAAACACAATAACATAAAATTTTGAAATTTCTAAACAAGTCAAATACAATGAAATTATTTTTTATATTTTCTCTATCCCTAAATCGATTACAATTCTTTATTAATATAACATTTCGTAAATAAAATCAAAACACGAGAGATTCAACATTTCATCCCTGTAAATCCTAATTTGTAATCTAAATAGGGACAGAAAGAGTATTAATATATACAATAGAGTTTTTATATAGTTAAAAATTAAAATTTATTAAATTGATTTGAAAAAATGAAACTAGATTGTTTATACTCCCCCGTCTTTCTGTATTTGTCTATTTTCATTTTTACACACCATCTAATGCACTTCTTTAATCTATTTTATCTTGTAATTTGTATATTAAAAAATTATAAAAATTATGTATTAATAATCTATATGTTAAGACAAATCAAACAAGATCACACATGACTATATTTAGGCTTACACATTGAGAGAATTTGATGAGTCAAATTGCTTAGATGAACAGTTCCAAAAGTCAAATGTGGATGAGTCAAATTGCTTAGATGAACAGTTCCAAAAGTCAAATGTGGACAAATACATGGAAGAGAAGGAGTACTTTATAGGAGTGGAGTGTCATTAATTATTGAAAAATGCTAGGGGTACACCAAAGGTGTACCCCAAATGTCCCTCACCCCCTCTTTGTCCACAATAATTGGCAAGAAATTCAAAAAAAAAAAAAAAAAATCAAAAAAGATATGTAGTGGAGAAGCATGTGGTGTACAATTGGGGTGCACCTTTGGGGGTACCCCTAGCATGGCTCTCCTCAATCCTTATCATGCGGGCTTGTTTATCTTTTACGGTAGAGCAAGTTATTAAATCCGGGAGCACAGTACTTTATCACTCTCTTTTTGCCCCATCCAAATTTCTTTGTTGTGTCAGAGGAAAAATGAAGGGCGTGCGTGTAAAGACATGCTCCGTATTTGCTTCTGATTTCGACATTTCACACATGATATGACCATAGTACTGCACAGTATTTTCTTCGGAACTAGGGATTCTACTGTTCCTAAAACTTGCTCACTTATACGGAGTAACAGTTTCTCTGGAGGTTTTTTTTTTGGTTTTTTTAAACATAATGATTGGAGTACACATTCATATGTGTGTGAATAAAATAGTCTCTCAACTAGTTTAGAAAATATAAATTGAACTTTAATCTCAGTTAGTTTTGCGAGTATCAGTAAGGGTTCCGTGTCTGGTACTTGCAGATGTTCAATGGTCTGCGTGATTGTTTATTATCGCAGCCACCGGACTTCGAATTCGAGACTTCTTGTAGCGTTTTAATGTCAATCGATGAGCGAGATGACTGAGCGTCGTCAACCCATTCATTAAAAACAAGCTATGAGTAGAGTTCTTTTCTCTTCATCTATATTCTAATATGAAGTTAATAAAATCTTACTCCCTCCATCCCGCAAAAAAATTCCCCTTTCTTTTTACATCCGTCCCAAAAAAAACACTTCCCTTTTCCTTTTAAAAAGTTACTTTTACCCCTACTAATTTTAACCTACCTATCGCATCACACTTTTTTCTCTATTAATCTATCCATTTCAGCATACTTTATCCATCACATCAAAAAACATTTTTGGAAAGTCAACACTAAAATACACTCCCCTTAAATCCTCAAAAAGTCAAAACGGGAACTTTTTTAAGAGACGGAGGCAGTATTTAAATTTGGGTTGTGCTGGGTTGTACAAAATTCATACCTCATTTTTATTTGTATGCCAAGCCTATCATAAACACACACACACACACAAACACTTAAAAGTCTATAAAATACGTACATATACTTGTCGGTGGGGTTTGGGCCATTGGGAAGGAAAGGGATGTTAAGGGAAAAAAAATACCCAAATTCGATTCCTGACAATTACAATATGAATGAAATTATGTTATAGTTTAATTGGTATTTTTTGAAAGAAATGCACTTGTCTTTTGATTAAATTTTTTGCCGTTTAAGGTCAATTATAAAGAGTTTCAGGTTAGGGTAGGACATTTCTATTTCTTGTTTGCATTCGTGAAAGATAAAAACTTGCTTCTGTAGGTTTCAATTAAGAGTATGTGTTACCATATACTCCGTACTCCTTTTGGAGTATTTACCCTCTTCTAGACCTGATCAATGTTCGGGCGGGCCGGGTTTTGGGCCGGACCGAGATTACATTATAAGAGTTTCTAAGGCTCGAGCCCGGCCCATTTGAATATGCAGAGGTTTCGGGCCGTGCCGGCCGCATTAATAGTAAATTATGAACATATAAAAAAACTTTTTTAACACTATATTTCGTAAAAATGTAAATTTTAAATATTTTTATATTCGGTGCGAAAACTTAGCAAACAAGAAAATGGTACGATGTATATATATGACGTGGTATAAACTAGAGTATAGTATATACTTCGCACTATAATTTTAGAAAACACATGAGTAAAAAGTGACTAATGAATAATATTTTGTATATTTTTTTAAGTAATCATATTCCGTATAAAAAGGTATACATTCTATACTGCTCCTAAAACTTCATACTCCCCCCGTCCCTAAATAGATTACAATTTTTTTTCTCTATCCTCTCGATAACTTTTGTTTGTTTACGCGATTTCATTAAGTATTTCATAAAATAAAATATTCCTGTCACCTCTTGTTTTGTAGAACATTTGACGTAGTTTTTCAATACTCTCTCCGTCCCTCATAGATCTTCCCAATAGCCATTTTTCTTTGTCCAGAATAGATCTTCTCATTTCATTTTTAAACAATTAAAATACCACAACTACCTCCACTTACTTTATTTATTACACCTCACCCACCTCATTTAATACACTCCACCCATTTTTCATTAAGGGTATTATGGTAAACTTTTACCTTTTTTCAACTCTCCTTAAAAACCACCAAAAGTCAAAATGAGAACATCTTAGGGGGACGGAGGGAGTATGTAATTTTTATATCTTATTGATATACCAATTTATAAATAAAATAATTTAAAAAATTAGGAAATTTTACTCCGTAACCCGCAATTTGTAATCAAATTGGGGACGGAGAGAGTATTATTTATATATACTTTCATATTAATTATTTATAGGGATCGGGCAGCGAGCGGGCTTTAACAACAGAACCCATAGACGGCCCGCAACACTTGCGGGTATCCTGAATTTACAATTCGGGCGGGTCGAATGCTATAACTCAAGCCCAAGCCCACACTTTTCAGTCGGGCCCATCGGACCAGTCAGATACCTGAGCCCATGATCGGGTCTACACAATTTTATTTTTATACTAATATACTTCGTATAATACAGTTTTTATATACTACCTCCGTCTCATTGTCTTTGTCCACTTTTGACTTTTGGAACTGTTCATCTAAGCATTTTGACTCGTCAACTTCTCTCAAGGTGTAAGTCTAAATATACTCATGTGTGATCTTGTTTGATTCATCTTAACATATAGATTATTAATATATAATTTTTATAATTTTTTAATATACAAATTACAAGATAAAATGAATTAAAGAAGTGCATTGGATGGTGTGCCAAAAGATAAGTGGACAAAGACAGTGGGACGGAGGGAGTATCTGATACTCCGTACTTCCTTTGTCTCAAAGTTATCGTCACACTTCGAATAAAATTTGATATCTTTTAAAATCAATTTGTGTATAAATTGATACAGAAAAAAAAAGTACAATAAATTACATACTTCATTTCGCATTTAAAAACTAATAAAAAAATTCTTCTCCCTCGGTCCCTAAATGGATGTCGTTGTCATTATTATGGTTGCTGGTTAACTTTTGTTTGTTTGTATACTTTCATTGATTATTGATTAAAACAAAATATTTTTTCAACTCTTGTTTTATGAGCTTTTGATGTATTTTTGAATGGTGTAATTTATAATTTTTTATTTTTATACCAATTTTAATTTAAATTATTTTAAAAATGATTGGGTATTATACGTTGCTTAGAGTGTGGTATCTATTGTAGAACATAGAGAGTATTCACTCTGTCCAAAAAGTTCTTTTTACTTACTAATCACACGATGAAACATTAATTTTTTTACTTATTTTCGTTAGTTACTTGATAAAATAATAATATACTCTTCTCACCCCTTATTTTGTAAATTTTTTTAATTTTACATCTACTGTCAAATAAATTGAATTAAAAATTAGATTAGTCTACAAAAAAACAAAGTATGTGAAGAGTATTTTAGGACGAATATTAAATAAGAGGTAAGATGACTATTTTGTTTTATTAAATGGTTTGCAAAAATATGAAAACAAAAAATTATCGAAAATAGAATAATAACTGTGATTATAATTTTGAAATTAAAAAATGACTTTTATTAATTCTTTTTGAAGGAAATTAAAATTTATTTAGTTTGATTCCAAATTATAAGTAGACAAATCCCTTGGTATGTAATTTAACAGTACTCGGTAAGATTTAAGGATTATGCTATGTGTACCCCAAGGTTTGTACCCCAATTTGTACCCCGCAGTTTTGCATCAACACTTTGTGTTGGTGTAAAACTAATTTTTGTTAAACGCAACAACACTTGTGTCCGTGTGAATATTTATTAACGCACCAACACTTGTGTCGGTGTAAACCATCGAAATGTTTGTGCAAGCCTGTAGTGTACAAATGGAGTATATTTTTTGGTGTAAGTGTAGCATGGTCCAAGATTTAATTGTGTTTCTTAAGAATGTGATGTAAGCAACACACCTGAGACGGTCCGGGGCTGACGTAGAGTGGGGTCCATTTAAGATTGAACTCTTTTGAGAAAAAGCCGCATGCATAAGTAGAGTAGAGTAGAGTAGACCTGCACCGCTTCACATGGGAGTCATTCTCTCCTGTTCTCTCTACTTTATATGGGTATGCATCTTACATGTATCCAAAATTTGTATCACATTTATACCCCAAAGATATGTACCAATATTTTTTGATGGTTCGCAGTGACACAAAATGTTGGTGTATGTTAACAAAAATTTATACTGACATAAAGTATTGGCGCACTAACAAAAATTAGCATTATAATACAAAATGTTAGTGCATCCCTGTAATGTACAAAATGGGGTAGAAATCTTTAGGGTACAAATAACTTTATCCCTCAATTTATACTCTTATCGTCCAATATTATTTCGTCCCATATTTTTCTTCCCGTTGCGCAAAATGAATTTTTTTAAAAGTTTTTTCAATTTATTTTATTTAAATGCTGGTATAAAAATAAAAAATAAAAGTTACATATTAAAAATTATATCAAAAGTTCAACAAAACAAGTGGTGACGAGATTATATTATTTTATTATATAGAGCATGAAAAAATATAAATAAATATAAATTTCCGTGAAGTTGAAATAGTGCTTTAGGAAGAAAGATATGGAACAGAAGGAGTACTTAATAAAGTATACTCCGTATCATATACTCATGTTCAAAAAAAGTGTAATATATACTTGTACACCTGAGAGATAACATTTTATTCTATGTCATTATTAGTGAAGAGAACTTGTAATCTCAGCTTCACACCGTATAATCCGCATGTTTTTTGCGAAGTTGGTCGCATAGTCGTGCCTTAGTCCGACATATTTGTTTGTGACGTTGGTCGCATAGCCGCACCTTAGTCCGACATATTTGTTTATGGGGGTTGGTTGCATAGTTGCACTTCAGTCCGACAACATTTTGTTCCTTTGTTAGTCGTCCTGCGTGGGAGTCATTCGTCATCAAAATTTTGGTTGTTCGTTTGCTCAGCCAGTTGCCTTCGTCCGTTGTCGGCACAACAAATAAAAGATTTCACCAAGTTGTTTTTTTAGTCCTAATTTTATTGTTCAAATAGTTCATTCGTAATCTTCATTCTAAACTTCAGAGAAAGTGTTAGGATATGTCATAGGTTTTGATAGTAACGGGCCAAAGTAATTAATGAGCTCATAATTAGGGCAAGGTCATAGTCATGTACTCCCTCCGTCCTATAATGATCTTCTCGGTTCGCAAAACGAAGAAAAATTCCAAGTTTTTTCAATCTATTTTTTTTAAATATTGGTATAGAAATAAAAAATAAAACATACATATTTAAAACTACACCAAAAGTTCAACAAAACAAGTGGTGACAAGAATATTTTATTTTATCATATAGGCCATGAAAAAACAAAAATAAATACTCCCTCCGTCCTCCTAAGATGTTCTCATTTTGACTTTTGGTGGTTTTTAAGGAGAGTTGAAAAAAGGTGAAAGTTTACCATAATATCCGTAATGAAAAATGGATGAAGTGTATTAAATGAGGTGGATGAGGTGTAATAAATAAAGTAAGTGGGGTAGTTGTGGTATTTTAATTGTTAAAAAATGAAATGAGAAGATCTATTGTGGACAAAGAAAAAAGGCTATTGGGAAGATCTATGGGGAACAGAGGGAGTATAAATTCCCGTGAAGTTGGAATAGTGCTCTGGGAAGATCATTATAGGACGGAGGGAGTACCTATTATAAATAACATGTTTATGTTTGATGAAATTATCAAGTTCAGATCTAACATTATTTCTACACTGTCACAGACTGTCACTTGTGAGTTTCGATCCTTAGTCTTTTGAGTTGAGTTGCCCTCGCAGGCTAAAGAAAAATGAGATTTTAACTCAAAATTGTTATTATCGATCATGTGCATACAGACGATGGTGTGCCTTCCTCAGATGATGATGAAAACAGCGACGGGGAGATGGAGGAAAATGATGGCGGCGGCGAAGATGGGGAACTCAAGAACAAGCTCCTGAGGAAATATGGCGGCCATATAAGTAACCTTAAATTCGAGTTCTCAAAGAAAAAGAAGAAAGGGAAGCTCCCAAAAGATGCCAGACAGATTTTGCTTGAGTGGTGGAAAGCTCACGATCGATGGCCATATCCTACGGTAATATTTTCACACTATACTATTTTTGCTTATCACTGTCTCGTAATAATCATCCGCAATTGATTAGGCGAAACAACTGGTGTCATTTTAGACGCTCCCTAAGAAAAACGATGGGGTGTGTTTGAAGTGGTGCACAAGGGAAAAAATACTCGGTAATAGTCATAGAAATCATGCCAAAAGTGAAAAGTGAAATCTTTTTTAGGAACAAACAAAATCGGAAATGTGAAAGCGAGACGGAGAGAATACTTTTTTTTAATATTTTTTTATCACAAAATAAGAGTTTTCACTGTGACATTTTAGCACTGTAGAGTGGCATCTCATTGTATTCTTTGTTACTATATACTGGCATTATGGGGATTCTGAATTCTAATTTGGGGATAAAAACATGTAGCTTTTATTTTAATATTTTTATCCATATTTTACTTCTAATTTAGTCATATTTTCAACATTAATACACCACTTCTATAAAATCAAGCAAAGAATCAGATATCTTAGCTAACTAGTGAAAAATCTAATGACCAAGAGAGATAATAGAACTTTGATTTCAATAATAAAAGCTTAAAATAACTCTAGTAAAATATGAAATATTTCGCGCATCACCCTGTAACGTATGAAAGACATTGTCATTATCCATCTCTAGCATGATCCTCTACCGTGCATAGATCTCGTTTTGCCAATTCAACGCCTCCCGAACGCCCATACCCTCCGTCATCAGTGCATTCTAAAAATGTTTGGGGTACACCAAAAGTGTATTCCAAATGTACACCACCCCCTCCATTACCACATAATTTGGCATGTAAAATAATAAGTAAATAAATAAATAAAAAAGACTGATAATGGAAGGAATGGTGTACATTTGGGGGATAGATACACTTTTGGTGTACCCCTAACATCCCCGAATACATTCTTTGCGCATCATCCCAAATATTTAAGCACCCTCTAGGAAGCCTCCTTGTTAACCATTGAGAGCTATTCCCACTCGCCATGTATGTCTTTGTTTGTGGATCAAAACCCACACCAATGCTAGCTGCATTTGACTCCTCCCCTCGTATGGTGGCCTCCATCGAGCATGGCTCACTATTGTTGGTTGAACACCTCCATGCTTTTGATTTATATCCAGTGATGGATCTAGAAATTCGGATAGTTGGGAGCACCATTGTTCGGAATCCAGGGGCAACGCCCCTTGTGTTTTCTTCATAGGCAATATAAACTTAAATGACATAAATATAATGAATTTTACATAAAAAAAATTATTGACTGATTTATTTTAATAGATAATGCAAATTTTTTTTATAAATAATTAATATTTGGGTTTTGGCGCCATTTACCCCTGAATTGTTTAACAGTTACACGGATTCGCCCTGAACTTTAAAAATTGCATCAATGCCTCCTGAACTTTTAAAAACATTGCACCAATTTATGCCAGATTTGGGAGTGCGTTAATTAAACACTCACCAATATACATGTTGGACTTTGAAGAAGATGTCATGGATTGATGAAGAGCTTGATCGATTGCTGACTAGCTTAATTGACTGTTATCCAGCCTTCGAATTCGGTTACCGACGATTAAATTGTGAATAATTTTCTATGGTTTAAAGAGGTTAAAAAATATAGAAAGATAATGTTTGGAAAGAGCATATTGAAGAACTTACATGTGATATTTGACTTTAGATGATTCCATACTTGCATTCAATGAACGTGTAATTAACGCACTCCCAAATATGGCATGGAGGGACCGTTGGTGCAATAATTTTTAAAAGTTCAAGGGCATTGGTTCAATTTTTAAAGTTCAGGGGAATTTCTACAATTTTTTCAAAAAGTTCAGAGATAAATGATACAAAAAAACTCATTTATAATTATATAGAATGAAACACACTTTAGTTGGCATCCTCTCAATTTTAAATTGGGGGCTAATGTACATAAAGTCTCATAGCCCCCTACCCCAAATTGAAAGAGTGGATCTGCCGCTGGCCATATAGATTCATAATTCGAGACTAGTTGATTCCTTTGTGTCCAAAGTTCCCACATAACCATCAGTGTCTTCTCCAAAGGAATTTCACAGATTTCAATGGCATCTTCTTGCAGTTTGGAAAGGGCTTGTTGAAGAAGTGTGATGTCCTAGGTCCTGGTCATCAGTTCAATACGTGCTTCGACTTTTCCGTTTTCTATATCCGACGCAACACAAATGAATATACGAGTTGGTTTCTCGCAAAAGCCATGGCCCCCTAGCTTCCTCCTTGGATCGGCCAAGTGCCTCTCCCGACAACCAACGAATGCCTCGATTTCCTTCACCCCCCACATTGTTTCACACATCGTAAACATCATCATAAGTTCATAACGTAACTCGACCTCGCTTGTACCTAGTGTCTCAATAACTATCTCTTTCCCACACGGGAAAGGGTTTTTATGTTTTCTCCTCTGTGTCTTCGCCCAAGAATTAATCGTCCCCCTTTTTTCTTTCGCAAGTCCCAAAATAGTTTTCTCAAATCGATTCTCTCTCCCCTCTATAAATGTCAATCAAACAATTTCATTTTTATAAACCAAGTGAAAAAACATACCCGAAGATTAATTTTGGACGGAGGGAGTAATTTACTTGGAACTCAACAACAAAAAATTTAACTAATGTTTTATAACAAGTCTTGCCTATTTAGTTTTTTTGTACCCTTAGTGATGCATGGGATGATTAGTTAATTACTTGATTGGTTTCAGGAGGGAGACAAGATATCTCTAGCAGAAATGAGTGGGTTAGACCAGAAGCAGATCAACAATTGGTTCATAAACCAGAGGAAGCGACACTGGAGACCCTCCGAACACATGCAGTTGGCTGTCATGGACACCCTCGCCGGACAATTCTTCTCCCTTAATGACTAGTAGTAGTTATTATCAATACAATTAATAATAATAGTAATAATATTAATTGTAATGATAATCACATACTCATTTCATCTCTCTAATTTGCTTTCACTCTCCCAAAATTGATTATACAATAATCACACACACCTTGTACGTGTAAGAACTGTTTGTTTTTGTTCTTCATGTTGAGCTTTGATCAATCTCTTGGTTTCGGGATAATTCAAGTCCATTCCCTACGGCGTTCCATTCGAAAAATTGTAGATTTCTACCTCATTAACCTTCTTGCACCCTTTGGGCCACTCTCTCGATTGGATACAGTAACACGGTAGCCATTCGGTGAAGGAGACTGGAGTGCAGAAGATGGTTTAGGGGAGAGGGTAGTAAGAAATTTTAATTTTTCAAACAGAATACTGTACTCCATTGTACTTGTCCCCTATATTTATACAATAATATGATAATGACATTAATCGGCTCCCTTTTTTAAATAAAATTCTTGTTTCATAGGCTACAATACATTATTCTAAAAATTGATTGTTTGTGCCCCTCCTAACCCCATGCATGCCCTCTAGCCAAAACATCGATTGACAACAATAAAATTGTTGTCAATCGGTGTTTTGGGCATGACGTGCTAGGGGGAGGGGGGAGGTTTGTGAAGTTAGGAGAGATAGAAACTCCTTCATGCCTAAAAGAATGTAACAGTTATTATTTCGATTTCTCGATAACTTTTGTTTGTTTACTCATTCTCGCCGGACAATTCTTCTCCCTTAATGACTAGTAGTAGTTATTATCAATACAATTAATAATAATAATAATAATATTAATTGTAATGATAATCAAATACTCATTTCATCTATCTAATTTGCTTTCACTCTCCCAAAATTGATTATACAATAATCACACACACCTTGTACGTGTAACAACTGTTTGTTTTTGTTCTTCATGTTGAGCTTTGATCAATCTCTTGGTTTCGAGATAATCTGTTGAGTGTTACTTCAAAGTCCCACATCGGTGGGATAGGAAAATTGAGGAGGGATTGGAGCCTATAAATAAAGAGGAGATATAGGCTTCCATCACACAACACAATCCTTCAATCTATATAATTGTGTATTAGATTTTAGGTTGTGAGTGTCAAATATTGAAGAGGGTTTGTAATTTTTCCAAGCAAAAATTACTAGTGAGATTTTATCCCAGAGAGGGTCGTGGAGTAGGTCTTGAGGTGCCGAACCACGTTAAAAATTGTGTGCTCCTTTTTTTTTCTTTTCTTTCAATTTGTTTGGAGTGGGGGCCTAACAAGTGGTATCAGAGCCAAGGTGCAGAGCTCGGGTGATCTGGTAATTATAATTCTTAGTATGCTCTGTGGTTGCAGCTTTGACTGATCTTCCACATCATAAAAAAATTATTAACTACAGAGTTGCAGTCTACGGAGGAAGGAGATAGAGCAAGGAGCAAGAGGAGGGCGTGCCACTTCAGTGGAGGAGGTGCTGGTCCAGTCAGCAGAGGTGGGTCCGTGAGTGCCACATCAGCAGTCTGTGGGTCCGAGTGCCAGGTCATCATCTAGTCAGCGCTCACATCAGTAGGTCCAGTCATCGTGTGGGTCCCGCTGGTGACTTTCGGAGAGAAGTTGGTTCTAACTAATTTTGACGTCCTGATTCCATTTTTGAGGCCAGTTTCCTCAAATTTGGATTGTTTGGTATTGGTTGATTGCTGCTTGAGTGGAACTATGACTACCTTGAAGTTTGAAGTTCCGTTATTTGATGGAAGAGCGGACTTCATGTTGTGGCAATGCACGATTCAAGACTATTTGGTCCAGCAAGGTCTTGTAATACCCGCCTTCCGTGGACCCGGTTCACCCGCGACCCAACGGACCGGTAGGGTTACATGGACAGTCCGAGAACCATCTGTTACGAAAACATCAATGATTATTTAATAAGAAAACGGTTGGGTTTTAATTAGAGGAATAAATGCCAGGGAGTTACTCCCAAAACGTGTGTAATGAAAGTGCAGAGTACTTGCGGAAGTAATTAAATAAGTTCAGTCCAAACTAAATAACGACAAGGGTGGGTTCACGCCCAATTGATTAATGAAGTTATTGAAAGTAATTAAGAGTTCGTACATACGCCGCCCATCTCCCCATCGTCACCGCTCTCCAGGGTTGGCACCTTCCCCGTCATGTCTACCTGCGTGTAGCAAAAACAACTACACGCTCAGCAAAAGCTGAGGAGTGAATCTAACAAAAGAACATGAAGTGATAACCCATATGGCTATACCCATATCAATACCTGTACTTAACGTACGGGACACCACACGTTACTAACTGTTTAGTTTTCACCTGTTAAAGCTGTTTCGAATAACAAGGAACATAACGATGATGATATGACTTGGTGCATGACTTAAACTATCAGGGACACCCCTGGCTTAGTCTCACTCGACAGGATCACCCCTGCACTCCGGTCATCGTCCCCGAACGGTAACGAGCCGGGCACGATGAAAACATCGCGAGTGGACTAGCAAAACCTGGTAGTAGCCGTAACCTGACTACTATGTACGTACACAAGCCCCACATGATGAAAACTCGCTGGTCCCCAAAGGTTCCTAGACGGGCCCACTGTAGTAGGCGCTTGAAGTCCTCCCTACAGCGGTATGCATATGATGGAAACCTAGAACATCCGTCTAGAACGAACATGATGGAATGAATGCATTGATCAAAGAATATTCAATTCTTACATATGTGCTTGAGTATGATTTGTTCAACATGATGGCCCTGGGTTCAGAACTGGCTGGTAATCGATTATCTGTTGTTGATAATCGATTATCATGCTGTGCAGCTTCTGACCCCAAAGTCCTGCAGGCTGTGATAGTCGATTGTCACCCTATGACAATCGATTGTCAAGTTGGTTTATCAGGAAAGTCCTAAGTTCAGAGAGACCTGATAATCGACTATTGCTCTGAGATAATCGATTGTCAAGTGAACCAGCTCTGACTCAAGAATCCGCAGGGTCTGATAATCGATTACCACTTATGTGATAATCGATTGTCACACTATGCTGGATCAACTGAGGAGTTCAGCGTGACCTGATAGTCGATTATTCCGTTCTGTAAATCGATTA